TGAAGTTCTCCAGAGGCCTCGTAATGAACTAATCATTTGATTCAGGTGTGTTGACCCAGGGTGATAGGAGGCCTGGAGTTGGACACCCCTGCTCTAGGTAAACATGTTTCAAATACTGTTTACATGATAAATGTTTGTTGTACAAGTCTCTCATGAATAAGTTATTTTACCACTAATTTTGTTTGGTGTAGTCCTGCTGAAGTGACGACACAAGAATTGCTTTAAAGATTTGTAAGGCTGCTGAATATGTCAGTAAAAGTTTTTTTTTCTTAGCAGAAGCCCAAGCATATCTTGCTCTTCCTCATCTTCTTTCATTTCTGTTTTTAAATTGCTAAAGAAAATAAATGTAGGCCACCCACACCCAACAGCAGGGACAGGACATTTACCTAATGTAGCCAGCATCATTTATGGTGTACAGTGTATGGTCAGAGAAAATCCTCACCACACAAGAAGTAATAAACTGAGTTGTTGCAATAAGTACTAAGAGTGGGGACAAAGAAATGGGACCAATTACAGTCCAACATGGTGCAAAGTTATTTTATTTTTGCTAGAACTGGAAAATGTGTTCATATCTAAAGCTTGTGATATGTGGGGTGTACAGCGCAATATAAAGGAAAGTCCTATTTGAGCGTTCGATATAAATTTTTATCTTTCTGCAGAAGATAGAAGGATTCTGAGTAGATTGTAAAATGAAAACAAAAAAACAAAAAGGCTGACAATATCCTGGCTGAGCTTCAACGGCTCATGAGGGCAGAATTGCTCACACAAAATAACCTTGTTTGAATGCAAATTCCGAATGTGCGCGCAAGGACCTTTTTCTTTGTCATTTTCATCGTTTCCGGCTGTGCATATAATGAGCGCTTTGCTTCGCTGGTTCCATAGGGTTTTTCGCTGCACTTTTTTTAAAATAAAGCAGATGGAAAAGAATCCGTGAGCTCCCAATTTGCCTCTAGCACTTGTGAATCTGCCATCTTCACAAAGAAATGGAAATAATTAGCCTACTAATTTCATAAGTCTCGTTCAGATGGCCAATTCCACAGATTGCGTTTCCTCTCTCCAAATATGACACAGCACTGAAGCACCGGTTATTCTTTATCCTTCTGGTAAGCCTGCCATAGGGCACATATGGGATATGGACACAGATCACACACCCTCGGTGCATCACATCAATCAGCGTTGAGGTTTTATTTTTAATAGACTGTGTGTGTTGTCAAGTTTGCATTAATAAATAGGAAAGGAGAAATGAGATGCACTTCAATAGCTTTCAACTAGGGGACCTAATGATAAACTTATCTCAGAGAAAAGGATGAGGCTTGAAATGGTCATACAGCAGCAACTCTATTCACAGGTTCTTTTGTAGCCAAGACAAAACAAGAGGGAAGTAGAGACGGACAAAAACAGGAGAGAGGGAAACAGAGGATCATCGCTATCTTGATTTTTCACCGCTGTGGATTTTGTGCATTCTGCAGTGCAAAATGTGGCTTTGCAAACACACACACTAAGCACACGCACACACTCACATTTTGACAACATAAGCTGGGCTCGCGCTCTCCATCTATATCAAAGGCCCCACCATGCGGGGATTGACTTTTGTTCTTGGCAGCATGAAAAAAGGGAAAACTTTATGATGTCTGTTTCCCTCTGGTTTTATTTGGCTCCAGCTCTGTTGTGGGGAGAGTGTGCTTGTTGTGTGTGTCGCCTGTTTCCAGCCCAGGGAGTCGCTACTGTATGCTGGTGAGACACTTGTTTGGTTTATTCGGGAGACTGACAGATGTCTCGGTTGGCTGTTTCTTCAGCTCATTTAATTGAAAATGCAGTCATTTGCTCCAGCCAAATGTTTATGGGAAGAGCAAGTGAAAGAAGAAGAGAAGGGGAAAAATATTTTTTGGTCTGTTGTAGCAGGTCTGTTGTCAGTTTTTACAATTTTATGTGGCATCTTTGTGAGGATCGGCTGGAGGTGGGAGCTGTTTGGTCAGTCGTGCTGTTTTGCAGCCCCAAAAATAATGAAACCACTAAATATATCTGGATCCACTGACAGGGAAGGAGCAAATCAGTGCCAGTGAGTATGACTTCTAAAAGAATACCGACCCCTAGTGGAGAACTGCAACAAGTGACTCATTCAGTAACAGAGGAATGGTACACAGAAAAAAAAAAGAAGAAAGAAAAAATGATTGAGTGGCGTGCAAAAGGCAGCTTGCACAAATATTTACTCATGTTCCACAGGATGAGAACACAGCTATAAACAAATAAATACTTAATTACACTATCTCATGCACACATCTAGTTAGAAATGGGGTGATGTCAGAGTTGTGGTCGATGTTGAGACTTTATAGTTTGATACAAAATATGCAGAGGAATCATTATACAGCAAAATAATTAAAAGCAACACTGCTGGATATGAGTTACTCTGCTACCCTTTTAACCCCAAACTGTGTTTTTTATTTAAAGAACCCCTGGACCGGAAGCGCTTTACTTCGTCCAACCTGGCAAAGCTGTTTTGTGTCATTTGTAGCTAGCTAGCTAACATTAAGGCTAACTTAATGACTCTGTAATAAATTAGCTGCTAACAGATGCACAGTCATGGTTGAAGACCGTGCACTCTCTGTCAGTTATAAGGTTTTGTGGAACAGAACTTGCCGGTAGGTCTTAGAATTAGGTAAATACAACCACAGGTGAACAAGTTTATTAAGATTATGATGTCATTATTCATTAAAAACCAAGCCAAAATATATGAGCAGTGTGTGAAAAAGTAATTACACCCTGTAATTCAGTAGCTTGTAGAGTCATTTTTAGCAACAATAGCCTGAATTGTTTTTGATTTGATGCTGCATCAGTCTCTCACATCATTGTGGAGATATTTTTGGCCTCTGTTCTTCACAATGCTACTTTGGTTCATTCATTCATGCACACCTCTCTTTAGTCACCACCATAACATTACAATCAGAAGTCTGGACTCGAACACCTCGATGATTCTTTTCTTTTTCACACATTCTGTTGCAGATTTGCTGCATGAACCAGTTTGGGCCAAGCTTTAGCTCTCACATAGATGACCTCACATTTGACTCTACAATACTTTGGTATACAGAGGAGTTTGTATTCACTTCAATGACTCCAAGGTGTCCACATCCAGTGACTGTAAAACAAACCCAAATCAGAATCTGAATCAATTCACAAAACTTTATTTAGCCCACAATAGGCAAATCAATTCGACAGTCCAACATTAGAACAGTAAGCAGTGAATAAAAAATAAAAAACAAATCATCACCCTTCCACCACTGTGCTTGACAGTTGGTATGACGTGTTTGTGCCAATATGCTGTGTTTGGTGTTTGTCAAACATGCTGCAATGCGTCATGGCCACACATGTCCACTTTGTCTCATCTAAATCTAAATCTAAAGGACTTTGTTCCAGAAGTCTTGTGGTTTGTTCAGATACAACTTTGCAAACCTAAGCCACGCTGTCATGCTCTTTTTAGAGAGAGGAGCTTTTCTCTTGGTAACCCTTAAACAAGCCACACTCGGTCCTTCTTTTTCTAAATGAACTGACATGAACTTTAATATTTAACATGATAACTGAGGCCTGTAGAGATGTAGCTTTCAACTTTACAATCGGGGTGAATTTGCTGGGACATCCACTCCTGGGCTGATTGGCAGCTGTCTTAAATGCTTTTCGCTTGTAATGATCTTTCTCACTGTAGAATTATATTTATCTTATAATAATCTTACAACCCTTCCCAAACTGATGGACATCAACATCTTTCTTTCGCATTGGGGTAACAAACGGCTGAATGCGCGAGACCGG